ACTACAAGGAACTGAGTTGATTTCCATACTGTTTGCTTTTGGGTGGATGTTTCACAGATGAGAAGGAAGAAAAAGTGCATTTCCTCATGCCTCTTAGCTGAACAGGCCCCTTGCTGCGTGTTCTCTGGGCAGAGTTTCCTGCTCTCGCATGGCCAGTGCTGTTTCAGTGCCTTCCCCTTTGTGTGTCTGAAGAGCTGCTCATCCCAGTGTCACATGTCCTGTCCAGCCAGGGACAGGACTTTTTGCAAAGCAGAGCTCAGTATCACACAATGCAGAAGCCAAACCTGCAGGAGGCAAAACAGCAGCACGGCCAGCAGAGCTTTGCCTGGCTGGTGGCATGGCAGTGGGCAGTAGTTCCCTTCCTGGTTTTACTGTCACCCTCGCTGAATTCGTACCTTTCCTATGGGGAACGGGAGAGTGTGTCGTTTAGCACAGATCAGGAGAACAAAGGTCACAGTCAGCAGAAGAAATCACATGAGTGAGATTTCCACAGATGACCAGTCTTTGAAGAAGGTTTATATGGTCATTTTGTGTTAGATGTGGTCTTGGTTTTTTCAAGCTTCTTCCTTTTGTCCCTTCTTTAAGTAATGTCTTTCTCCAAATTAAAAATGTCTTCTCACTCTTGTTAAGTGTGCTTAATACGTACAGTAAACTTTATTGGCTCTTCAGACAGTAATACATATGAACCTTTTCTATTTTATCTGTATCTCCTTCTTTTTTTTTTAATTTATTTTGTATTTTACAGCGCTGTTTTTTACTTAGTTGGTTAAAATTTAGTATTTTGGTCGTTAAGTCCCGAAATAACCATTAAAAAAAAATCACTTGTTTGAAGGAAATGATTGTCACCGAAACTGTGTTACTTCAGCTAGTACTTGGCCTTAAGAGGAATCTTTGATTTGATTTCCCTGATCTTGGGAAGAACTCTCTTGTTCATTTCTATTTGTATTTTTAAAGCTTTATCATCAACACAAAATAATGAAGGCAGTCTGTGAGGAGAGCGGTGCTGGCACCAAGCTGGCACCTTATTTTAATATGCTACAAATCATTCAGTTTAACAGGTTTTGTACATATCAATGTATAGGGTAGGATAAAAATAGATCTGTGCATTCATTTTTCTCCTTACTGTGTATAGCAAACTTACAACCTTTCTTGCATGCATTGTGTATTCAAAGCTAAGTAGTGTTGTCCCAGAGTTACAGGTTCAGAGCTGTACAAGTGGTCAGATGATGGGAAAGGCGTTAAATATTCTTGTTATCACTACTGGAGAATGTCACAGAACTGCCCGTCTTCCTTGTGTTGCAGCTGTTTGCCTGTGAAGTCTTCAGACTGCCATAGTAAATCATATTGGCAACAAACAGGAATTTAAAACAAGAAGTAAACAGTTCATTTCCAGGATTAAATGAAGAAAAAGCAGCTGTTCCATTGCTTTTACAGCAGCTAATAGGGAACTGCTAGGTTTTTCTGAAGGGCATGATTACAGTGAAGCTGGCTTTTCCTCCAGCTTTGAGTCATGTGCTGTATCCCAGGGCTGTTGCAATGAAATTCTTGGTGTGTACCTTCTTTCCTGTTGTCTGCCTTCACATTCAGAGACAAACTCAGCAAGTGCACTCTGACTGTGGAAGACAAGCCAGTATATGAAATGTCCAGGTGTTAGTAACATAGCATTGCTATGACAAGGAGGTGCTTAGAGTAGGGCCATCTTAGGACATATTTGCATTTCTTTCTATGTTCTTCTGTATTTACCTGGTGCTGCTACAGTTATGTTAGTCTGTTCTGCTGGTGAAGAGTTAAAAAATCCCAAAACCTTTAACAAAGACAACACTAGAACAGACTGGAGGATCTTGCTTTCTTCTTACAGTTCACTTAGTGCAAACACCCCTTCTTCGTAGCATTCCCCTTTTCCCTCCCACTGTTCTAGATGATGTTAAGTCAGTAATTTTTCCATTGGATTTTTAAATCTGGAACTTATGATGACCTCAGAGCAGACATTTTAAAAAAATGTTAAATTGTTGGAAAGGTGCTTTATTAAAAGTTCGCAGTGGACAAATACTTTGTAGGGAATAGCTCCTTCAGTTTCTTTTCTGGTTACTGAAACAAAAATTAAATTATTTCCTTTCATTCTTTCTCTTATTTCATCTGTTCACTTTTCTTACGAGAAGAGGCAGATTGCCTTTGGTGTGCTTGATATTTGTAGTAGTTTGTATTTCTTACCAACAACTAAAAATGGTAAAAGACTCCCAAGTGTTAAGAGCACACTGTGTGTGTGTGTGTGATGTAACATTTTGCTCTCTTTTGCCCACTTACTAGCACTGGCAGTACTGGATGGCTGCTTATTTTCATGTTCTGCATTTTTCCTATCAAATTACAGAAAATAAAAAGATGAAATTGTTACTAACTTAGCAGTCTTTCTGCCCTATGTTCACCCTTGCGCTGCTTATCTGGAAAAAAGGATTCAAAACTCTTGCATACAGTGCACATAATGTTTGTCATTAAAGAGGAAATTCTCAAGTTTTTCTTACAAATTGGAACATTCTCAAGACAAATTAATAACAGTGTCTCCTGCTGGTATTGGATGCCAAAAGAGAGGAAGGTAGGAGTAATGTACCAGATGAATCTACTTGGACAGATGTATTTGCCTTTCACACCGTCCTCTGGCAATGTATGTGCTGAGGAATGACCGAAATTATAGGCAGGGTTTACAGTTCTTAAGTTCCATTTGCTTATGTTTGCAAGGTGCAAAGGACAAAAAGGTTGCCAGACAAATATTATTTGTTTGTTCATTTTGTTCTGATAGAAATACTGACTATATATTTTTCAATATCAGCAGTTGCAGAAGTGTTGAAAAGACCCTCTGAAGTAAATACCATTTTCTGTTCTTGCAGGCAGCCATGCAATACACTTCATTAACTCAGACAACTATCTGAAAGAGTTTTCTGTCCTATCTCTGCTAGGGGAAGGCCACTGTAGAACATTAAGGCTTTCCTAGATATAAATCTTACTCTGATTTCAACCTTAAACTTTCCTAGCTGTTTACAGGAATTGAACTACTGGTAGTTCAGCTATAGCATGTTTTTGAAGAGGACCTGTTAAAGGCAGCTACCAGAGCAATTCAGTCGGCTAGGTAGGCTTTCAGGAGGTTCTCTTAAGAATGGTTTTTGCCAAGGGCAAAGTGGGTTTTTTCTTTTAGGGATGCTTCATATGGGCTGTTGTATTTATTTTGGGCATACTGTGCTTAAGTTGTTCCTTTCCCATGTTTTACCTGTTCAAAGCAAAGATCATGTAGGCCTTATTTCTCATAGGATACAAAGACCAGGTTTTGGTTCCCTTATACATGACAATTTCTCTTTTGTTTGACTCTTTCTTGCCATCCTCTGCACTGGTTTCACTTAGCTCTGTTGAACTGATGATTGGAACTTCAGACACTGTGAAACGACACACCTGGGCCCTCTGTGCCTCTAGTGTACTATTCTAGTGTTAGAGAAATCTCTTTCTTGTACTTTTTAGAGCAGTCTTTTTTCTTTTTTTTTTTTTCCCTGTGATCATTTTGGTTATAAACATTCATTCTGAGATGTACTGATACACTCTTCCTGCTACTCAAAGAAGCTTAGAATAGATAGGAATATATAGAGAGAATATATAGAATATATTTATAGTCCCAACTACTTCACCATTACGTACTTCATACTGGTGAATTTCATCCCATTTCTGCAAAACAGCTGTAAAGGTGATTCAGCTCTTCTTGCATAATGTCTCCATTCTGCTTTTGTTTTACACTAACATTGTTTAAGCAGCAGAATGCATCTGTATGCACAAGGATTTTGCACGATGATTGTTAGCAGAATGGCAGACTTGGCACTTACTTTAGTCTTGGAGGAACTCTTCTAGCAACTTTCCTGCATCCCAGTACTTCTGCTTCCAACATGGTGTATTTTGACAGCTCTTTATTTACCAGTTATTTACCCACTTAACATTTTTTCTCCTGCTGAACTAATGATTTCCTATATTTCAATATATATGTGCAGCAGTCCATATTCCAGCTGTTTGAAAACTCCATGTGTCTCAGCAAGACATCATTTTGTCTGATGTGTCTTAGCTTTGGCAGATCTTCATTGATTTACTTTTGTTTGCCTCCATGACATTGATTATTCTTTCTAACGGTGCTCTGAAGCTTTGTTTTTGTACATAAGCACTGCATTTGTTACTCTTTAGTCAGATACCACATCAGTAGCTTGATAGAGCAGTTTTCAAACAGCCTAGCCATACCTGTAAATATCTGTGCTAGTTCTTTCAGACTTCTGGGGTAGATAGTATCCATGCTTCACACTCTTGCCCCCTTGGTTGTACATACTGAATCTCTTTTCATTTTTGCTGCCAGGCTGATAGTGGTAATTTCCGTATCAGTGTGCAGCTGTCATCATTGCCATTGAAATTAGGGGAAGAAGCATTTGTTCCATTTTGGCCTTGATGCAAATTCCACTAGACCAAATTGGAGCTGTGTGTGTATCCATACTGAAATCCAGTTTAAGGCACTGGATATTGCCAGCTGACTGTGAGTACTAACTGAGAAAGTTGCTTTCTTGAAAGCACATTTGGCACGAACAGATACTCCTTTATTTCTTGTAGTGGGCTGTGTGCCTGGAGTTTCAACTTTTTCTTGTCCTTGACCGTTTCAGTTAGTTTAATAAATGATGCTGCTTCCTCCAACTGTTTCCTGTCTCAGTTGTCCATAGTCTACCATCATTTTGGGGCATCTCTGTTATTCCCAGTTAGCAGATACATATGTCAGTACAGAGGTTTGAGTTAGGGCTGCCATGCCATCATGCTCATATTCACTTTGTGTTTTCCTTGACCAGACTGTTCATGTTGCCTGCAGATTTCAGCTGTCAGGGGTTTGAGGCTCAGTTAACGTAGGAATTTGGGGGGGAAGAAATAGCTAGGAACCCTCATGCTGAAGTATTTCTAAAATCTCTCTGAAGTGCTGGTGTTTTTTTATTTTCTAGATCCCCCTTTCCCAGCTGTAGAATTTGTTGCAGTAACAGGTTCTGCACCTTTGCTCAGACTTCGGAAAGCAGAAGATCAAAATGGACCAGTCAGGTTTGTCTCTGTGCACTCTTCACCCTTTCAAAAAATATTCTGCAGATTTATGTTACTTACATATTGAAACTTTCTGTGGGAGTTAGATTGGTTTTGTTAGCAATGGGAGAAAACTTAAGCTGTAACTCCCAGTTTCTTTTCCCTTAGCAGAGTAGTATTTGGTTTCAGACTCTTCCCTGCTTTCTGAAGCAAAATTCTATGGTTTATAATTATGTGTTTTTGCTGTTGTTTTGTGGAATTTTTTTGTGTTTTTTTTTTTTTTTCACCTTTATCTGCAGTGAAACCACAGTAGATTTTTGTTGATGGATCCAAGCACAGGTCTACCTGTGTGATTTTTTTTTTTCCAGCAAACTCATGCAGCAGTACATTTGTTTTTTCTAGGAGCCAGAGAAAATGAACAATATCTGTATTTCGGCATATTCTGAAGTAGTGTTTTACTATTAGTGTATTACTGCCAAAATATGATTTACACCTTTCTAAGTGATGCTGTCGGTGATAAAAGGAAAAGGTAATTGTAATTCAACATTGCACTAGAACAGAAAATACTTGAAAGCTAATAACATTTCAGGATAGCATTGGTGTAACAACCTGGTACTTAAATCTTTCTATGGTTGGATACTATAGATAAAACACTGTTTTGAGATGTCTGAAGACAAATTTGATTTTGTTTTTTTTTTTTTGCAGATGATATCTGTCCTCTCATGCTTTAAACAGTATAACTTGTTTCATGGGCTCATTTTGTATGTATTGTTTCATAGGTGAACTTATGCATTAGATGAGAGGAGCAAAAGATAGCCTGCAATAACTCATTTCGATGCTCTTCTGAACATGAATGAACATGTAAAGTTAACATGTTTGTCGGGAGAACAAGCTCTGATCTGTTCATGCATTGCTTTTGTTCAAAATGTGATGGAACACACAGAGAAATATTTTAGTATGAAAATCATTTGTATTGGACATTGACAATAGAAGGCAGTTAAGATGTTACAAATATGTGTGAAAAGACATTGTGAATTAATGTATTGTGAATTAGTACATTGAAGTGAGAGCTAATGTTTACTTTTTTTGTTTCACTCTAGTTTTTATCAAGTCATTGTGCTTCCTCTGGATTTGCAGAGCACCTTTATTTGTGACTCCTTTGCTGCTGCAACTTTCTTTAGTAACACCGCTGATGTTAAAGGATATGTGGCAGCTGAATTTCTGGCGAAGGATGTTGCCGATAACATGCCAGTTTCTCTTGGAGACAGACATTACTACGGAAAATTCTATAATGCTCCTTTAAAGCTGGGAGAAGAGTATTGCGTGTTTTTAAGGGTAATAAGTGAATGGAATAAGGTAATGCATGTTTTAAAACCTTTCCTTTACACCTGTGGAATGAAATGTTGCTGGGAGAAGAAGAGGAAGATGTTAGCTTTGTGTTAAATTTTTTCATGATGTTGCAGGGATCGTAGTTGACAGATTACATCTGAAGGTCTTTAACACTTGTAATTCCTTACAGATATTATTGTAATGGTGGAGCAACTCTGAATGCCAAAAGGCAAAAATGGAAAAACCTAAAAATAAAGGGCCATCATAAATACTAGGATTGCAAATACCAAAAAGCTTTGGTTCCAAGCACTGCTTCTTTGAAATGGAACTTAAACCTGTGGCTCAAAGTACTGGTTTATCTTCAATTCTTATGCTCTTGTATTTTGTACAGCTGTTGGTATTAAGGAGTTAAGAAGTTCAGAATTATAAATTGAGGGTTGTTGGGTTTTGAGAATTTCTGAAAATCTGATTACTTAAGTAACTGAATTTTGATTCAAAAGTTAATATTTAGAAGTCTGCTTTTTAAAAATATCTGCTCTTTAATTGGCCCTCAATTATTAATACATGTGAAATCAGCATTTCTGTAATGGATTTTACTTGCGAATATATTCCCATTTGACACATTTCACATACAGACACATTTCTAATGTGTCTGTATCATAGACTCCTAACTAATCTTCTCATTTTATACTTCTATTTTCTGGCATCCTCCAGAGTCCCCTCTGGCTCCAGACCCTTTCATGCTGATAATGGTACAATTCGTACCATACTGCTGCAAAATCATGGCTTGGTTGTGACTTTTTATTGCCGTTATTTCTTAATATACCTTATGTATTTTCTTTGTGGTAAGGGTGGGAAAATCATTTCAGATAAAATTTTGTGGACACAGTTAAAGCAAGCTGTTCCCTTCCACTGAGTCCACATTCATTTATCCCTTGCTGAGATTTGGAGGCCCTCAGAAAGGTGTCTGCTGTGCAATATTTATTTTTCAAGATTTAAAATGCATATTTCAGTTGTGCAGGACAATAAAATGTGTTAAAAGGCTGGTCAGATGATCTGAGGAGATCATTGGGAAATTGGAGGATAATGAAAATTCGAAGATGATAGAAATTACTATTTTTCGTATTGATTAATTTGGCGATTGGAATACAGGGATAATAGAGACCAGGGGAGGATTTGGGAACAAATTGTAGAATCACAGAATGGTTAGGGTTGGAAAGGACCTTCAGATCATCTAGTTCCAACCCTCCTGACATGGGCAGGAACACCTCATACTAAACCATGTCACCCAAGGTTTTGTCCAACCTGGCAATGACTTCTTAAATGAGAATTTACTGTCATTATGATGAAAGCCTTACTTCAGTGTAACAACTTGTCCTTTGTATGAAAGTGTCCTTCTCCATGAGGGACTACTTAAATAACTCCGATCCATCGGTTATCTGTTTTAATCTCTAGTGATTACTTTATAGATTCCATGCTGTGCAGAGAGTCCAGGCTCATAGTGAAGGGCAAGAACTAAAAGACATGTTTGGAGTTTAAATTTATTTGAGAATAATTTCTTTAACATAGCTTTTGTTCAGTCTCAGCATCAGGTTTTTTTTATCAAACAATTTATGCCTGTAACAGAAGTAAAAGCAGGACTGTGGAAGGTGGAGATGACATGCAGTCTTTTCACGAAAAAAGCTGTGAGCTCTTTTGAAAATTGGAATCAAAGTGACTCCTGCTGTGAGAAAAGCCTGCTAAAATTAGCCTAATAAAAAGTCATCTGAGAAAAGTGCATATGCCTGGCAAAATGTTTTCTTGTTTCTGCAGAACTCTTTCAAGTGTACAGATGTGGAAGGAAAGGTTCTATCTCCAATTTAGATAACTGCGAATATCCAGACCCTAGAGCCAGCCTTTCATCAAAGCTCTATTTCTAATTCTGTCTTTGTAGTTTATAATCTTTACAGACAAGCTAGAGGCTGTTATCAGGGGAATAATAAATTCTACTCCAAATAGTAATAGTATACAGTATGTTGTGGATGGCTACTCTTGCCGAGGGTGTTAATGATAATAAATTCTTTTTATGCAAAACAGTGATTTTTATGTTTTCATTTTCAGGTGAGAACACAGTCCTGTGCTATTTGGGCACAAATTAAAAGTAAGTCGATTTTTCCTTCAAAGAGAAAACAGAAGTTGTCATGGCTGTGCTTGACAGCGTGATCTAATAGTTGCTGTGGCTGTTTCTAAATTTGCCATTAATTTTTGGTTGACTGTGAGGAGTGGAAGGGTTAGTGGCAGAAAATGTGTAAACATTCGCCTCACCTAACAAAGGAAATGGCACCACTCCCTAAAGACTAAATTGTGCTTTTGAGTTGGAAGACTTGCAGATTGGTGTTTGGAAATGCAGTGACATTGAAAAGTGAGACAGTACTTTGGAATGAGACTGAATCATGTGGTGCATGGAGGGCTTGAGGTTCATCTCCTCCCCTGTTCACAAAACCCATGTCTGACTATTGCTATTACTGTTCTGGTGACGGTCGTGTTTTTATTTCTAGGTTGCCTTTTGGTGTTTATTCTTATTGCTTAATTCATTTACCACCACACTTAGAATATAATCTAGGCAGTTTGGTTGTGGAGACTTGGCTGTAATAAAGGATTCCCTAGGTTTCGGGGCTCTATTGCTAGAACAGTATAGGCAAGAGGTCTGGAAAGACAGAAAACTGTCCTCTTCTGAATTTGTCATTTTTCTGCTTACAGAGCATCATCAGAGACTCCCTTATGTGTAGGTGGATTTTGGGTTTGGGATTAAAAGAATGGCCATTAGAAGATGGGAGTAGGCCAGACCAGGCCTTTGCCTTTCTATTGTAAATCTGTTTGCCTTTGTATTGAATATACTTCTAGACAGTGTCCTTGGCCTAATGTAATTCTGGAGCTGGAGAGGATGAGAGGGTTTTTTTGGTTCACCGAATCCTTTGAAGAGTATTTCTTAATTCACATTGTGTGGAAGGAAAATGTGTACATAAATCTAAACCAAATGGGCGTGTTTCAGCTGGTGTCTAGACAAAGCTACGTTGTATGATAAATCATCATCATAGACAGTGGTAGGAAGCTGTTAGAAGCACACTTCTGTCACAAATAAGTAAAATGCATTTTGAGGATTTTTCACCACATACATAATAATGTTTAGGGAAGACAGTTTTGTCATTTTTATAGACATCTGACATCTGCTCTAGAGATGCATAACTTCTGTATGGAAACCTGTGTTACAGTGATACGAGGACAAGTATAACTTTTACCAAAAGTGAACATGCCTTTAGGATGAGCATAGTCTCCTTGTAGGGTCCTTGTCTGAAATTCTTTATTTTACTGTACTTACAGTAAGTTTATAGGTGTGGTGCTACACAGATACAAGCCTTGCTTCACTGAGCAGTGCTAGAGAAGGACGGTAAACTGGTCAGGTCCTCCTTAACGCTTTGTATGACATTTTGTGCTTCATATCAGTTGTTGAGGGTGTTTTGGGTGCATGCCCAATCAGTTTTGTGCCTGTACATTCAGATGAGCCAAAAAATAATTCAAGTAACAGAAGTTACTTTCCTGATACTCAGGTGCTTAGATTCTTATTTCGACATACACAGCAATTTCACTGAAAAAAATGCTGCTCTTTTGAGAATTTGAATTTTTGATAAAATATTAAATACCTGTGCTTGCAAGATTTAACAGCATGTGGAGTTATGGAATCTTGCAGAAATAAGATCCAGCATCCTAGATGTCTGTGGGAAGCCCAGTAAGGAATAGGTAACCTTTGACTAATGCTGAAAATGGAATAGAGGTGACTGGAAGGGATTGATTGAGTTCCTGTCTTCTCAAGTTACCTTTAACAGTACTTCTGAGTAATTCTGGTTTTGACAGCAAATCACTGTTAGCCTTCTGTTCTATCCCTGCATGACTTCTGATATTATGGGCTTGGGTAAAGTTGTTGATGCCAGTTTTATTTCTATTCTGTCACTTGGAAAAAAGTATAAATAAATAAAAGAATGGGGAGGAGAAGTCTTGCCTAGATTGCACAATTTTTAAAGGAAATGCGTTGAGCCATTTCATAAAGCACTAGGATTTTCTGGCATCAGAGACCACTTTGGAATATGATTTAGACTGAAATTGACAGTGATGAGAGGGAAAAATGTTGGCATTGAGTATCTGAAATGTAAAAAAAGAAAAAGGAAAGAAAGGAAAAGACAGGAAACTGAGGAATGGAGAATCATAGAATCACAGAATAGTTATGGTAGAGTAGTTAGAAGTGTAATTACTTTTGAGAAATACAGCATTTAATCCTACTTCCTCAACTGGATGGTAACTACTAGATAGTCAGCTCCATTACTACTTGACTGAGCAGTCAGTCCAGCATCTGGGTTTTGTTAAGAGTACTGTAGCTTTGAGCAGACTCAGTTACCGGGCAGAAGCTACACTATTTGATATTTGTTTGAATTGTTTGATATTTTCTTTCAGATTTAGCACCCACTCCTACTCACTACATGACTGCTGTTGGATTAGGGTCAGTTGCTACTGTCTGCCTTATACTGTTTCTGACATTCTCAGCAGCTCGGTATGTATTGTTATTAACTCCAATTTCATAGTCCTTCTGCACAAGGCTTACGTGTTTTTCTTGCCAATCTGCTTGATTTAGACTTATTAGAAACTATTATGATATTAGAAGCTATTATCAAAAGTTCCTTCAGTGGTGCGAGCACTGCCATTGCTGAAACTGATGCCCTCTGATGTACTTTTCGTATAATAAGAGCCAATTTCTAGTCTTTCCAACTTTATTCAAAAGGCCTAAAAGGACAGGTTTTCAGTAGCAGTTGATCTTGGACACAATAAAAAGACAATAAAGGACACAATAAAAACATGTTAGAACATGAATTGATTTATTTTTGTTTTCTGATCCTTCATGCAGTAACTTTCTAACTGTCTTTCTTTCAAAGGTAAGACAAGTATGTGCCTATAAGTAACCATGAATGTCTGTATGTGTGAAATCTCTTGACTATGAAGTATGTCTTTGACTTTGACTTTAAAGTACGTCTTCTGTTTTAATATGAAGACCACTCTTGGGAGCTGGGAAGTATAGAACAATGATCAGTTGAAATTTTTATTTGGCATTCTGAAATAAGAGCTAGTCTTCTACAGGGCTGGAGAAAGTAGAATTATTTGGATTGTCTGTAGTTGTCTAAATTTCAAATCAGTTCTTACAATCTAGATTTCAAACTAAAGATTCCATGGTGTCTGTCTTTTTGTAATTAAAGAGAGGAATCTCAGGGTTGCCTTGGCAATAGGATCCAGTGGTAACTTGAGCTTGCAGTCTTAATTGTTTTGAGTTTTTTAGAAAAATATTGTCAGATTCAGTTTTGACATGTGAGGCAGAAGGACCATTAACTAACTGCCTTTGTGTCTAAACCAGCACACCTGGCAGAGGGAGGGCTTGTTGCAGGAGGAAGGGCATCCCTGGGCTGTCATGGTCTGAAAGGCTCCTCAGTTATTACAGTTTCTCTTGTGAAAATGCATCAGAAGTATAGAAATACTTGATGCTAATTGGTGTTAGATCAATTAGCATCACAGTGATTGGAAAGCTATTTAAGATAATAGACAGTACTAGAAGATTCACGTGTGAGTCTAAACTAGTTGTGAGTGAGTGTAGAGAAAATTAGGTACTGAATTTCCATTTTGGTCTTCTTTTAGAAGGAGTGAGAGCAAAAAAAGACCCATACTCAGGGAGCTGAGTATGTTGAGTACATTTGACAGGAGTCATGCTGTAATGTAGGGTAATGTTGGGGGATGTGACTTGATAATTCAACAAGTATCTTTTAGGCCCATGTTCCCCTGTACAGAAAAATCCTTGGATCCGTTTGCCCATTTTAGAGAATATCAGGCAGAATCCTTTGCAGAAATTAAAGCTGCCCCATCTCAGTAGGAGGCAGAGAAGGAAAATCCCAGATGTTAGTCATGGGATTCACAGTGCTTACAAGTAGATGTAATGTTGATAAATAAAAAATACTCTTAGTTTTAAATAAGCATCAGTTTCATGCATTTCTGATTAAGAACGTAATTTGAAAAAAACATGCAAAGTCAGCCTTTTGTCCTGCCAGTTGTAAAGCCATGGCCCTGTTTTAGGCAGTGTACTCCAAGAAGGATGTGGCCCGTCAGGAGAAAGAGACAGAGGAACTCAACAAGAGAGAGATGAGATCTTTCTGATCTAGCTGTGACTAAAAATGTGCTAGCAGGTTGCCTAACCTGGCAGAGAAGAGACTGCCAAAAAACACATGATAAACGAGTATACAAAAAGCCATTATAGAAAGACCAACTTCCTCCTGTCCATATTTCCTGTGATACGTGTGCCATCCATGGGCATTATACCTGTGTGCTTCTGAACAGTAGGAGGAGGGGCATGGGAACAGATTGCTGTGAATGCTGTGAGACTTTGGCTTCTGGGAGTCTGCAAGAGCAGGTTAAACATAGTCAGGAATGACACAGCTACAGCTGGTCTTGCCATGGCATCAGGTGAATGGTCTTGGATTATTTCTTGGCATCCCTGTAAGCTTTCCTGTTCTGCAGCTTCTGTCACAGAAAACTGCTGTATTCATCAGCTTGCCACATGTCTGCCACCTCAGGGGTTATATTACCACAGTGGGACAGATTGTGAATTCCTACTGTGATGATTGCTGACAGCAGTTTTAACTGTTCCTCAGTGAGTAGAAGTCTGACACTGGATTCACAAAATGCACAGCCTGACTACTGAAGTCCTTAGATATTATGAATTTTTTCATTAAAAAAAAAAAAAGCGTTAGCCTGTAGTTCTTATTATTAAGTTGCTTTGTCACATACTCACTTACTTCATTCCTCTTTTAATTCATTTTATATGTGATGCCCATAAGGACAGTGCCAAAACTTCAGCTTTCTGGAGTTTTGCACTGGACATGATTGTTGTCAATGCCAAGGGTAACGTAGGTCAGGTAGTGATCAGACCCTATGGGAATGCTTCCTACCCATCTTGCGCTAGCTGTAATATTAAGAATTGATACCAGCAACCTTAGGTCTTCAGAAAACTTCAGAAACTCTGTTGTTTATCTCATCACTATGAATGATGCAAATTCTCTGTCAGGTCAAGAGTTGAGTCTTGAATGTTTTTTAACTATTTTCTTTTAACTGGGTTTTTTTCTCATTCTCCAGCTCTTATCTCCACAACACAGTGAGCTCCCCACCTGCTGCTTTAGCCTGCGAAGCTGTGTATTTATCTGCCACAGTGGACACATCACAAATGGGGATTACATCGTCATTCCTGGAGACTGAAAATGTGTCTCTTCTCTGAAGTGTTAGCCCCTGAAGTCAGCATAGAGAAAATGCGCTCTTCTTGCTAAAGCCAGCATCTGATGAATATAGATGTATCTGCATAGCATATAGATACTACAGCACGGGCAGTTAAAATGTGTGTTACTGGAAGTGAGATATTTATTGTCTCCCCTTTTTCCAGATGATGTGGTATGTGAAAGAGAATCTACCTTCACAAACAGGCTTGTGTCAGGGACATTATCATGCATCCCGTGCCTTGGCCAAAGGCTTTCAGCTATTGCAGCTACATAATGTAATAATGCCTGATAATGAGTGTCTGTATTGTACTTTATTACATGAATAATCTCCTGATCCATTTGAGACTGTTGTGAGGATCAACTGCTACTTCACATACTTTAGGACACATAAACTGGTCCATTATGAGAAAAAGCACAGATCAACGCTTATGTCAGATAAAGTGCCTATTGTATTTCCAAGTATAAAGGTAGATGTTCATCAGTCACTTAGGAGTAATAGTACTTCAATAATAAGTACAGAGTTGTTAGCCATAAAATTGTCACATTCAAACAGTGTCAGCAGTAAATATGTTCCAGAGGCATTGCAATCATTGCTCATAGCAGTTAGCAATAATTGCAAATAATATACCAATCTATAAAAATGCAGTTTGCTGAAAAGTTGAGTAGCCTTAATGGCATGTGAAACTAATTTAAGTAAGGAGCTACCTGTGATAAATGCAATTTTGTTAATATCTGTTCTGTAATTACTTCTGAGTAGAGTCATTAAATCATTATCTGGTTAATGAGCTGGTGTGTAACATCTGGTTAGAGTCACTTAATAAAGTGCAATTAACCAATTTCCTATGGCATATTCCCAGTTAATATTTTTTCCTTCTGTAAGAAAGAATCAAATCCCTTTGATTATTTCCACTCGTGATCAGAAGTTGCTTTGAGATATATTAGCAAAATCATTCTGTTAACTGGTCAAATAAAGAAGCAAGAGTTTTGGTTTTTAGTTAGTTTTTTTCATTTTTATTTCCAAGTTATGTTTTGTGTGTTTTCTGTTTGAATGTTAATAATCATACCCATTTTTGGAATTCTGTGTGTTCCTGCTTCCTGCTGGCTTTATAATTTTAGACTGGATGTGTAATTCCCTTTTTGGTGTGTTAAAAGGGTATTTTAAAGCATAACAGCAGACTTCATAGCAGAGAGGAATTACAATCAAAGTTACATGAGAGAATTTTTAACTGCTGTGGCTATCTGGGGGTTCTTTTTCAGATCTGGGCAGATATAATTTCTGTTATCCAGCATTTCTACTGCTTACTAAATCTTCCTTCAAGTTCAGAAGTTTTCTGTAGTTAGTAACTGAGTAAGAACACCTTTGTCTATGTTAGAGGTTAAGGGTTGGTAATATTTTTCTTTGCTGATTGAGAAAGAACAGCTTAACTGTTCATACTGGGCTACTGTTACTTTTTTTCTGTTGTTTTTGTTTCTCCTGTAGAATTCATTCTCACACATTCTGCTCAGAATTTCCTTTCTCAGTGGAATAGGTTGCCAAGGTTTGGCATAGCGAAACAAACTGCACCACTTCATTCTGGTTTATTCTCCTGCTGGTTCTGGAATAAAGTTCATGAACAGCTGTAACTAAGTAAGGGAGAGCTGGAGAGGAAGGGAATGATTTGAAGAGATAGACATGACATCCTCTGTTAAAGAAAACTTCTTTCACCTTTTACTAAGACCAGCAGTGTTCCAGTACATTATGCAGGACCAGGAGCAGAAAGTCCATCTTGTCAGTAGGTGTAGTTGGAAAGTTAGGTCTTCATGTAACCTTCAACAAGTGATTTATTTTCTGTGTGTCTCTTCTTTACCTAGCTTGTCTTTTCATAATGTAAAGTTTTCAGAGCAGGGTTTCTTCTTAACAAATACCCCACTTCTGCTTGGGCTTACATAATGCATGTGATGACTTGTTTGGTATCTCTGCACAGTAGAGCAGTGCAGCATATGGTATCATTCAATAATACCCAGGAATAGACCGATAAGGGAGAAGCAATGAGGTAGGACTCCCTGCCATCTTAAGTTCTCCAAAACAGCTAATGTCCTGTAAGTTTCCCTCTTTCCCTTTGTAAGTTTCCTCCTCCTTTGTCACTCTTACTAGACTCACTCTGGCTGTGGGCCTGTCTTCGTCTGTCATATACTTATCTTTCTTCCATCTACATCTGTTTCAGTTTAATGTGGGAAGCGTAGAGAAATAATTTAGCCTTGTGCTCCTCAGATGATTGTTCAGATGTTAGCTCATTTGTTGTAGTCCTTCTCTTTCAGAAACATTGCTGTATTGCTCCCAAGCTTTCCAATTATACCTTTAAAATTCTTTTTAAGGGAAAGTAAAAAGATTCAAACAGTAGGAAATTAAGAAGTAGCTAGATTAGAAAAAGGTTGTTAAAGGTCCTACTTAGAAGAACTATTGTAGGACCGGACAAAAAGCACGATACGAAATTACAGTGGCTGTAGTTAAAAGTACAGTTGTAGAAACAGGCTAGTACCGTGAAATTGTACAGCTAATGAAGGCCAGTTTTCTGACATTTCATCCATTGTGATAGGGTGTCACTGCAAATACAAACTTTTAGATTTCTGATTTACAAAAATACTTCTTAGGAAAATATAATCCTAATAGGTGCCACTTTGAATGAAGCTTTGGAATTAGGAGTGTGTCTTTAGGGGTACTTTTGTTGCTCAGACTTATAATCCTTATACGCTTTATGGAACGATCTAGTGGCTCTGTATTTTACACATAGCATCCTGCCAAACTAAGTGCAACATTGACATAATCACACCCTCACAGTCTGAGAAATTATAGTCATTTCTCATGATCCTTCACTGCTGTACCTTGAGTTAACACTGAAATTCTCCTTTTTCTTCCAATGTTTTTTGCTCTGCCTCCTCAGGTACATCACACCCAAGCCTAGTAAGGTAAAGCCAACTGAAGCTGGTCTGCCTCACCTTCTGATCTGTACCCATTCATGGTGCTATATTGAGAAACTGGTTTAGCTACACACCAGTGTCTGCATTATCTCTGAAGTTTTTTTGTCTATAGAGGAAACAGGAAATTGTTAGCCCTGGATAAACAATTCTGTTTAAGCTTAAGTGAAACCTATTTTTATGTTTTATTTTGTAATAGTGAGAGAACATGCAGATTACTGTAAAAATCCAGCATGTAATTGTAATGGTGTAATTGTAATGGTGTGTCAAATGAAAAACCTTTTATTGTAAAATACACTTTCTACTACATGTCACTAATGGGTCCTTTAAATCTTCTGGTGAGATTTCTTTGTTCTGGGCACGATAGAGACAGACAGAAGCTATCCAGGCTTTTTTGTTTGTTTTGGTATTTATAGTCACAATTAGTTGTATGTACAGGGCCAGATCTGAGGGCCAGTATGCTCCTTGTTTCTACACACGGTCTCAGATTTAACTGTTCTTAGTCACTGTTCCTTTTTCCCAGGTCTTGTACTATTTTGCAGAGCTATTTCATATTCTGCAGCATTCAGTCAGAGAACAGCATGAGTGGGCAGATCCATGATCTCTAGTTCAGATGGAAGTATTTCTGTTCCTAGTAATAGCATTGCTAGGAAGTTATGAAAGTGTCTGAAAAATCTAGGGCTGGTGCCTCAGGATGACTTTCTGAGAGGACTGTGAAATTAGTTGATGATCTCAGTACTGAGCTCTAATGGAAAGGGACAAGTGTCAGCGTTGCAAAAGCACACCTCCACAGCTGTAGTTCCTGGCAGCAGGAGAAATGGCTTTATGAACAGCAGAGACACTCATTCCTTTCAGCTATGTCAGAGATGAGATGACAGTATCTGTGGTATGGCTATTATGGAATTATTTCCATTTTGAGGCTAAACAAAAATGGCACCTTTACAGTCACAATAAAAAGGGGGACCTGCTCTGAAGTTATCGCTTTCCCTCCTTCCCCAAATGTTTGTGTGTATTTTTTCCAGAAATACTGCTTTTGTTCCTGTAGTCTTGCTGAATAAGGTAGTGTGAACTTTTGTGTTTTTCCACCTAGAGGCAGCACAATTGATGTACTTCAGTTGCAGTTTATATTTTATGTTCCTTAGTATCCTTGTTGGATCACCACGTTGTGAAAAACTATAAAATTATATATGAATAATGTATGCGTGTGTGTGTCTATGTAGTTTGTTCTGTTTCTTCTGTTTCACTTAAGAAGCAACTGAAAATACAGTCAGAATTTGACAGCAAGGGTGGGGAAGTTCAGTTTCTGACCCCAAGAGTATAAAAGGATTAATAAAGTGAGAGCAACAGAGAAAGTATTACAGAAGTAAAGCCAGTTCTTAATAGCAGGTAATTTCCAGGCCTGCGTTTTCCTGAGCAGCTTTTAGCCTGTAATGTTTTAGCTTGACTTTGAAGACAATTCATATAAAAGTCTCTCCTGCAGACATCCTGGGAGAAGCGAAAAGAGAGCAGAGTGGGTTGCGGTAGTCTGATGAAGATGTTTCAGGCTAATGGGCACAAATGAGCTATGCCAATACGCTAGATAAAGACTAACGTAACAAGAACATAGCGGTGGTCTAAGTCAGTTCTCAGCTTTTTCTTTTAGCTGTATAAGATAACCTACACAATTTTGCTTTTGGCTAATGGAGATGTGTCATTTTGCATTCCTGTGAATTCTGACCTGTTCTAGGTATGTTATTTCCATGTGTACAATTGGCCAGTCCTTTCCTAGAACCTGGAATAGGGTTATTCAGGCACACAGAAGCAGAGCTAAGTGAATGTGGAATGCCAAATGAGTAGTAATTGTAAATAGAAATGTCTCAGCAGTGCTTCAACAGCAGTTCATTTTTGCAATATTCCAGTCTTTTACTGGGAAATGAATAAAATGTGATTATTACATGATTATGCAGCATTTTTCAGAACGGTGATTTGACTGATTTGTGGCTAAATGAAATCTGGCTCCTTCCAGTTCTGTTAAATACTACCTTACCCGTTTTATTCTTCATGGCTTTTAATCTGCCAGGTCTTAATTTTTATTACAATAAACAGGGTCAAAATTGAGCATACATCCAGATATTCTGAGGAATTCCGCTTTCTGCTGCAGATTTTCATTAAATTCCCTTGAAATTGTAGAATTACTCAGGTTCTCACCCCATGCCACTTCTTTCTAAATGTAGCACAATGGTGTATGCTTGCATTGGTTCAGAATTTTCTCTTATATTTTAACTCAAGCCAGAAAGATGAGAACAGAGAGAAATAACATTCTGCATTTTCACAAAGAGATTGAAAGGAGTAGCTGTAAGAAGGATTCCTTGTATGGCCACAGCAATATCCAAAGATTCTGCAGCAGTACTATTACACTGTCTACACAGGTCAGTGTGAGGCAAGGCAAGGGAATTTCTAGGTGCACATTGCCTTTGTGGCAATTTCCTTTTCTTGTTCGAAGATGAAATTTCATCCTTTTTTTTTTTTTTTTTTTTTGGTTAAGTCTCACCAGATTTTTGTATTGTTCAGTCCAACAGCATTTGAGATCATGGATCATGTAGTTAGGATGCTGCTGATCCGTTCTGCTTTCTGGTGGGATTCCTGGGAGTTTGCCTTTTCATCCCACATCCCTATAATTACCACAGCAGGACTGATTCATGTTTTTCAAACAGACCAGAATGTTTGAACAGATTGTCATGTATTCGCGTTGGGCATTTTGCAGTGAAAAGCCATGCCGTCCTTGACAAGGTATAACAAGTGTTTCTTTATCCCATAATATGGTTATAATAATAATTCAAGTGCCCATTCTAGCTTTGACCAGATTCATCCTCCAAAACAAAAGGCAAAGTTCATGCATTGAAAAGGATTGCATTTTGAGTGACAAAGTAAGTCTTAAAAGACAATGACTTTGTAATCACAGAAGTGATGAACTCAGAATACTTTGTAGAGTATCAGCAAGCAAGAATACTACTGTAGTATGACCCAATTTATTACCATTTAGATTTCACTTTGTTTTGCCTTTATCCATAAACATGTCCCAGCAGACGATAGTAAATCAGTATGATAGTAAAATACTTTTGGCTCTGGGTGTTTTATCTGGTACCTGGCATTTCCTTTCCCAGATATTTTCCTTGTAAGTCTGCCTTGGGTATTGAGTAATTGCTTCCTGTGTTTAGTCATACCCTGAAATGCTCTTTCTGGATGGATAAAGTCTCTGAAATCAGGATATGGTTCTCCATCAGAGTAATGGCCTGGTGAAAATTGTTGGAAGTGCTCTGGTACAGTGTGTGGAAGCTGCAATACCTAAAAGAGACCATATTTCACAGCTGGCTCTCTGTGTCAGGTGCCCTTTTTTTTTAAATTTCCATTTCCTTTTGAAAATCTTAGCTCTGCAGTCTCTAAGAACCTGGAGTGCTTGGCCTGAATTACACTCCTATACCCCTTTCCATTGTTAAGGTATGCTTTACTGCGATTGACTACATGACAAGATTCAGAATCGTGGAGTCGTAGAATCTCTCAAGTTGGAAGAGACTCATAAGGATCGAGTCCAACTCCCTGCTCCTTACAGGATTGCCTGAAACTAGACCGTATGATTAAAAGTGTCATCAAGATGCTCCTTAAACTCTGACAGGCTTTGTGCCAAGACCACTTCCCTGGGGAGCCTGTTCCAGTGACCGACCACCCTCTCAGTGAAGAACCTTTCCTAATGTCCCATCTGAACTTCCTTCCTCTGATGCAGATTCATTCTATTTGCTTGTGTCTATCGGTGGTCACCAGAGAGAGGTCAGCACCTCTCCCTCCACTGACGCCTACTGCCCCCATTTGTGTGCTTGGGTCACTGTCCAAGTTTGTGTTGGCTGAATTCTGCATTGCTTATGGTAATTGTTTCACAGTTTCACCATTTTCTAAAGAAAAGAGCTTGTTACAAATTCCCTCCGTTTTCCCATAATAATGTCTTTTCCTGCAGGCACATCCAAGAGGAATAGGAATCACAAAGTCATCAAGTTTGGTGAAAGCAGGTAGTTGAGAAAAACTAGAGTCCAGCCTGTACTTTTGTCAGATACCAGAGAGTCCATTATACAACTAAAGGATGTTACAAATGCTCTGTCCATGCTTTAGGAAACATGCAATACAGAAGAATCCATTGCACAGTCAATTTTCTTTCTCTTGCATGTAAGCAGGAGCGAAAGTCTTTTACTGCTTAGTATGTGATTAGTCTCCTGTGCCTGCTAGGAGCTAGCTCATTTAACAGCAATGCTCAAGTTCTGTTAGAAATTCAGGTCAATTGAAAGGTACAAATCCAAGGAAAACCAGGCTTGGCTGAGCCCAGTGTTCGCAGGTCTGCTTGTTATCTAAACTCTTTCAGCATGCCTGCAGGCTGTTTTCTGCACAGAAGTTTAAACAATTACGGAGTAGTGTTTTTTTTCAATACTCATTTGCCGTCTGTTAATTCTTAAAACCTGTTATGAGCATCAGAAAGCCAATGAAGCTGAAAGTGGCTGTCACAGAGAACCACAGAAGTGTTTTTCGCTAGAAAAGAACAGTGACATTCTCCAAACTCATCTCTCTGAATTGAAGAGAAAAAAAATATCAATGCAACTGAAAGCTTTCCTTAAGTATGTCTTATGTGAGAGCTGCTGGTCCGGAATGATGACCTGTAAGCAGAAGAGATTACAGGCAGACTCAGGCTTCATCGAAGTACGTGGTTACCCAACACTCTGGTATTCTGCAAAAGATGAACACTGCACAAACATCCGGGAAGCATGCAGTGCATAGAATGTTTACAAGCTAAATCTTAGTGTTCATATGAATAGAGAAAGCAGATGGGTTTATGCAGATGTGCTGTAATGAAGTGATCAGTGTAGAAGATTTTAAATGCGAAGTAAGAAAATTACTAGATTCATTCAATTAACTTTGAGTTTCAGACTTTTACAGTGAGCTTTGAAAGACGGCCTTTAACCATTCTCTTCACGCCACATTCATCCTCTTACACATTTATATTCTTTGCAGAAGTGTGCCGAGTCTGCAGGTACCTACCTATGTCTCTAACGCTCCGTATTAGAGGCTGCTGATTACGTGTCCTAATGTGTTAGCTGCAATTCAGCGTTGGTTTTACAGCTTGTAGTTTTATATGCTAATTCCTCTGTTTCCTGGCTCTAGCAAAACTTTGCTGCTTTTTAATGAGAAATGAGTAATCTAGGAGTTTTCACTTCAGCTTTAGCCTTTCTCACAGCTGTAGAGATCTGCCCACCAGCTGCTGGGAAATCACAGGCTACAGATACAAGTCCTGAAACTGCAGAAGCAGCAGGTTTCTTTCCAGCCATCCTGAGTGCAAATGACTATAATCAGTCCTTGTTTTTCCAAGTAAACAAGCAGCTTGCAAAATTGATATAAATCTCTCTTCCTGCCTTTGACATCCTTAAACAAACATACTGTTCTTTGACTTTCACTTTGTTACCTTTTTATCGTGTACTCATTTTCTCCTACAAGTTACATTTATTTCCCTTTGTCTTTTTCCCAATGGAATCAACATCCTGTGGGAGCGTATGACACTTTTTTCCCTTTTTGTGGGAGGGGGGAGTGATGACTCTTTTCTGTTGGGGGAAAACAAAAATCATCAGTTACCCCCTAGGAAATACATTGTATTTAAAAGGTCTTTGAGTTAGAGATGAGGATTTCAAATGTGCTTTCTGTACGCGTGCTCTTTTGCACTGCTTCTTTTATATTTCAAATCAAGGCAGAAAATGGGCATGGATACACTTTGAATTTGGAACTTTATGTACAGTAGCAGAACCAGAGAGGGAAAAAAGTGCCTGTTAATGTAATTTCAGTCCTTATCTTCCAGTCTGATACTAACAAAACTTTGCTGATTCTTCATGATAAATGATTGTTCTAAGAAAAATTCCTAGGGAGGGTTGATAATTACAATGCACAGTGAAGAGTCAGACTCTCCAAAACTGCTTCAGATCATCATCCCCAAAGAATTGCCTCTTTTGCTGATGGAATTTTGCAAAGGAATTGCTTCCTCTACTGCCAGTCAGTTATTGGATCTGCCTTTATCATGATTCACTGCAGACTCTTAGGATGCTTACCATCACATTTAAGAATGCATTTTTTGGAATCACAGGATCTGCTGCTTACCTAGCCTGCACATTTCATCATGGCACTCTTAACAGATTGTCTCAAGACTCATGGCTGTTTATCTGTCTAGTGTGTTTGGCAGAAAGAGTTATCAGATACTTGCTTTTGAGCTCATCTTCACCAGTAGATTTTTAACCAAGTCATCAGCAAATGAAGTGTGGAGCAAATGACAGAACACTCTGTTCGCTCCAACTGAGGCTGCCAAAGGCTGCCTTACAGACAGCAACTTTCATATGTGTCAGTAGAGAAGCATTACCACACTTAGAATTTAGAGACCCAACTAAATAAAGAGGAAGTGGCCTGACACCATTAGAGGAGTTCTTTTGTGTAATTCTTGAGCTTTTTGAGAAAAACAGTCTTGTTGTTAAGACTGAACATTTCTGTCCAAATAGGTCACTTCCTGACAGAAGATTGAAGATGTGCTGGTTTTTTGAAGCTGCAGTTTTGCTATGACTGGCTCAGGGAGAGTCTTTGTCTCCTAACATTGGTAGATTTCTTTTGAGTAGCCTGTGTGCTTCCTTTCTCACTTTCCTTTAAAAAAAAAAAAAAAAGAAAACTTGATTAAGAAGGAAAACAATAAGGTAGACAAGATCTTAAGATGCTGCTGAAGTAAATTAGGGTTTGCTCCAAGGCAGTGCTGGTAAGTTTTACTTGGAAGGTAAGTCTGGGGCATGTACCTTTAGCAAGAGGAGAGCCTCAGTGGTTTTGATGTGGGACTTGGATATCTGTTTGTGGTCAGGGTTTGTGCATTTGGTTATGCTACTCTGCATGACTGG